ACTGATACCACAGCAGTATTCAACCAGTGGCAATATGAATCTCACCAGCAGACAGAACTAAACCAGCAACAAGGTGAGAAGGTATGTTCACTGAGAGCTCAGGACATGAACTCAGACAAAGAACTGCCTATCCTGTTGGTCTGTTTGATTGACCAGGAGCAGAAACAGAGCAGCAAATCCCAGATGGGTAGTGCGGGAAAAGGCTGGATTTCACAATCCAGTCCATCCCCTAGAGCCATATGGGGTGCCATTATGTTTAAGGAGGCAAGAGCTATGGACAGGACTGCACATGCACTGAGCTGGGAGTGAACTCATTTCTGGCTCAGCAAACTACAACAGCATGGCATCCAATAGGTTCCACCCAAGACAGGTCCGGGTAGCCCTCAGACCTTAAGGCCACTAAGCAGTGGCACATCAACCACTCTAGCAGTGGTATGTCAGGCACCATTTCATACAGTGGGGAAAAACTGTAAGACTGCAGGCATAACAGTGAGCTGCACATGCACTGAACTCAGCAAGAACTCACTGAACTCATTGCATTGCACTGGTACCATAGGAAAATAATACCAACTATGGCATTTTATGGGTCAAAATAGGTCTGTGTGGCCCTCAGACCTAACAACCAACAGGTTCCAGCAAGATCAGCACTGTCAAAAACCCAGCTATAGAGGATACCTGGTGTCTCCCTAATCCTGGGAGCTGCTCCAGTCAGAAGTGGGAGAAAGGTTGTACAGACAACAGTGCAGCCTCAGTACGGCATCACAGCACGTGGAGACTGGTGAGCCAGGAGCTGGGGCTACAGAAACTGTAGGTGGAAATCTAACACAAGAATCCAGACCTGAAACTAGCTGCAGGGAATGGCACAAGTGACTCCAAACAAAGAGCCATGTAACAACTGCAATAAGTAAAACTGAAGTGTAGACCTGTGGGTGACACAGCTTAGAAACCTGCCCCAAGGAGAAAAATCTGATAACCAGAAGTACAATGACCAAGAGCAAAAGAAGAGACACAGGCACAATCAATATTACTGAAGACTCCCCTGCAAAAGAGCAAAATCCTTTGCCAACCTCAGAGTTCATTGAGGAAAACATCAAGAAAATGGGAGGTATAGAATTCAAAACACATGCTATAAAACTTCTTATCAACAATGAGAAGCACATAAAGCAAGCATTCAAGGAATTCAAGGTATATGTCACACTGCAAATGAATCAGATGTAAGCTGATATATCAGAAATGAAGAATACAGTGGAGCAAATTAAAAGTGCAGTGGAGAGTCTCCAAAAGAAAGAATTTCAAAATTAGAAGATACTTCCTCACCAGGAGCAAACAAACAAAAAGCTGGCAGCAGAGCTGGGTCAAGCTAAAAAACATATTCAAGAATTGAAAGACACTATGAAAAGGCCAAATGTAAGAGTTGTGGGAATCTCAGAAGGTGCAGAAAGAGAAGCTGCATTAAAAAAAAAAAATGTGTTTAATGAAATAATAAGGAAAAATTTCCCTACTCTAGGGTAAAAATTGGAAACAACATCCAAAAGCTCCCAACAGGGCTCACCAAAAGCAAAATTTACCAAGACACATGATAATCAAGCTATCAGCATTCGAACAGAAGAAAAAGATCCTTCAATATGCACATGAAAAAAATCAAGTGACACAAATGCCAATTAAACTCACAGGAGACCTCTCACAGGAGATTCTACAGGCCAGAAGAGAATGGAGTGACATATTCCAAATTCTAAACCCAGGAAATTTTCAGCCCCGGATAACATACCCAGCAAAACTTTCCTTTGTCTTTGAAAATGAAATACAATTATTTATTTATTTATTTTTATTAATTACATTGCAGTATGTGACACCGTTTCATAGGCTCTGGGATTCCCCCAACCCCTCCCCTACCCTACTCTCTCTCCATGGTGGATTCCTCTACCTTGTTGCTGTATTTCATTTCAAATTAAGTCAAGACTCTTTCGTTGCAAACATATACCAAGCATAGAGTCCAGCATCTTATTGTCAAGATAAATTCAACATTTTCTTGGGGAGACCATCTCTGGTCTGAAAGCAGAGCTGGCAGAATATCATCCTGATCAATTTAAAGCCCCAAACACAACATCAACAACAATTTACAACATTATGGAATTAATTGACATGGTATTGAGTGACCAATATGTTAAAAAAAAATGCAAGTTTTTAACCACATCCTGTGACTACTTCATTCACATTTCGATTTTAGTTTATATACTACCAGCCTCTATACACCTTAAAATGGCTACAGGGTGCTATTCAGCTGTCTTGTGTCTATTTTCATTTTAGTATTTAGCAGTTTATAGTGTTGAAGCATAATTTTGCTGAACTTGGCAGATTTTAGGATAGTCTAAACTGGCTTATAACTCTAACAAGGCATATGTCAACAACTGAAGTGCTGAAAAGAAAAAAACAGAAAAAAAGAAAAAAAGTCTTAAAAAAATTTTAAAAAGGGTATATATATATACCTTTAAGAATCTCTCAGCAAACATATTTAAAATTTAAAAATCTATATACAAAGGCTTGTCAATCAGCTATCTTAATCTTCCACTTTTCAGAATAACTGAATTCAGACAACTGAAATATTACATTAAGGAATAACCTAGAAGAACAGATCTTTTGGCACTGGTGCCATGGCAGAGTAGGTTAAGCCTCCATATGTTGCACCAGCAATCCACATGGTGGTAGTTCAAGTCCTGCTGCTCCAGTCTGATCCATCTCCCTAATGTGCTTGGGAGGGTCTGTGGTGATGGCTCAATGGCTAAATCCTCACCCTCAAGTGCTTGGATCCTGGTTTATGTCCAGAATGTTCTACTTCCCTCCCAACTCCTTGCTTATGGCCTGGGAAAGCAGTAGAGGATGACCAAAAGCCTTGGGACCCTGAGCTTGTGTGGGAGACCTGGAAGAAATTTCTGGCTCTTGGCTTCAACTGGCTCAGCTCCAGCCATTAAGAGAACCAGCAAATGGAAGATCTTTGTCTTCCTTCTCTCTGCAAATTTTATCTGCCTTTCCAACAACAACAACAAAAAAATTTAATAAATCTACAGAAGTGTGCTTGGGGGCAAGTGCAGTAGCCTAGTGGCAAAAGCCCTCAAATCCTTTTGTTTTAAGCATTTATGTATTTTTATTGGAAAGGCAGATGTACAGAGAGGAAGAGAGACAGAGAGTGAATCATTCCGTTCAATAATTCACTCCCCAAGTGACCACAACGGCCAGTGCTGTGCCTATCCAAAGCCAGGAGCCAGGAATTTCCTCCAAGTCTCCCACATGGGTGCAGGGTCCCAATGCTCTGGGCTGTCCTCGACTGCTTTCCCAGGCTTCAAGCAGGGTGCTGGATGGGAAGGTGGGCTGCTGGGATTAGAATCAGTGCCCATTTGGGATCCCAGCACTTTCAAGGTGAGGACCTTAACCATTACTCTATTGCGCCAGGCCCTGAAAGCCCTCACCTTACACGTGCCAGAATCTCATATGGGCGCCCGTTTTAAACCTGGTGGCTCCGCTTCCCATCCAGCTTCCTGCTTGTGGCCTGGGAAAGCAGTCAAGGATGACCCAAATCCTTGGGACCCTGAACCAACATGGGAGACCCAGAAGAGACTCTGGATTCCTGGCTTTGGATCAGCGCGGCTTCAGCTGATGTGGCCACTTGTGGAGTGAATCAACGAACAGAAGATCTTCCACTCTGTCTCTCCTTGTCTCTGTATATCTGACTTTCCAATAAAAATCCAAAAACATAAATAAATTTATAAAACTGTGTTTTGGAATGCAATGGAGGATGGCCCAAGCGCTTGGCCCTTGAATACACGAATAAACTGCTGGATTCAGAATAAACTCCTGGACCAGGAGCGTTGGACCACATCCACTCTCACCACTGCAGCCATTTGGGGAGCGAATCAGATGATGGAAGATCTCTCTCAGTCTCTCTGTATTTTAATTCTTCCTTTCAATTAAAAACTAAAAAGCCTTTAAAAAAAATAGATCTTTGGGAACAGTGTCAGGACATATAGGTTAAGCCTCCACCTGCAGCGCCATTATCCCATATCGAAATCAGTTTGAGTTCCAGCTGCTCCATTATTTATCCAGCTCCACATTTAGGGCCTAGGAAAACAGTGGAGGCTGATGCAAGTCCTGGGGCTCCTGTGCTCATCTGGGAGATCTGGAAGAAGCTCCTGGCTCCCGGCTTCAGACAGACTCAGTTCTGCTGGTGTGGTCATTCGGGGAATGGACCAACAGATGGAGGATCTCTGTCTCTCCTCCTCTCTCTGTAATTCAGACTTTCAAGTAAAATTTCAAATCTTAAGAAAAACAGATCTTTTAGAAATTCTGCCTCTGTGTTTTTAAATTAAATGGACAAGTACAAAAGTTTTGCAATTATCTAACATTACAAAAGGTTTGACTTACAAGTTGATAGATAAAATTTTTAAAATTCAGTTTTACAAATACACATAGTTACTAAAGCTTACTATTTAGAAGTAAGAGTTTTCTGAAATTATAAGTGTCTGCTTGATAAAACAATTAAGGGGAAAAGCCTGGTTTCAAAAGACACAACAGCACAGTATTTCCTCTTTTTAAAAAGTGTCATGCAATGGGATGCTGGACTGCCTGACATTGTCTGTACCAACAATGTCAGGGTACACTTGAATAAGAGACTGATAGAATTATGATTCCTAATGAAGGACTACACTATTGTAGTAAAATGGGGAAAATCTGTCAGGGGGTGGGAGTTTGGGGGGGATCCCAGCCTATACAAAATTATACCACATAATTTAGAATTAAAAATAAAAATACATTTAGAAATAATAAAAATAAAAGGGGTTATGAAAAATTATATATTTATTAAATTTAACATTTGAAATGCTAAGTTCAATTAGCAAATAACATAATAAGGTTAATTTTTAAACACTTAAAAAATTGATGTTACAATGCTTAAACTGATCATACTATACACGAGTGCAATTAACACAAAAAAGAAATTATTTACTAACCTTTATTTCCTAACATCACAGCAAGATGTAAAGGAGTATTTCCTAAAATAAAAACGAAAAATGAATTAGAAGGTATAAAAAACATAAGAATTTTTTTTTAAAAGTGGTTTCAGCTCCTTTAGAAATTCCACTAACTAATTTTAAGCAAAAACAATGTGACAATAAAATCACACAGCTTATTTGGCAGATTCAAAGTCAAGGATGCCAGGATTGCTAGAAACGACATGTCCTGCTTGCTTCCTGCCCTATACAGAAAGGATATCAATTATGCCTTTGAGATTTCTTTTCCAAAATGACTTCATATTTATTTTTGTGATTACTTTGTCTTTATTCATTCAGAAAATAATTTAAATATCCACTATTCCTCAGGAACAAAAACCAGTAAAACCCAATCGCAGCATTCAAGTTGATCAGAAGTCTTCTGCTGAAGATGTGAAAATAAAAGATGCTGACAGAGCTCCTGATTTGTCTGTGCAGCATTAAATATAGGAAGGACCTTCAAGGCAAACAAAAGCAATTCTAACCAGCATTCCATGTTAAAAATTAAAAAAAAAAAGAATGAAAAAGGAAATACATTCAAATGCAAGAGCAATTTATATTTGGGAAATAAATGCAGGTGAGTGGGGGAGAACTATTATGATTGAAGAAATACATAGTTTGTAGAAAAATTATGGTTAAATTGGAAAATTTAGACAAACATAATTTACACAGTGCTTATGTAGTTTGGATTATAATCCTAAAGTTGATACTAAAAAATGATATTAAACAACTAATTTCATCTGAAAGTTGTACCATAAGACACAACAGAGAAACCTCTTGTTTGTGAAAAAAAAGGCAAATAAATGGTTATATGTCAAAATAAAGTTATTAAATAAAATTTATTTGGACTGTTTTCCTGATATTAGTAATTTTACAGAAGTCAATGCATCACCAATTCTCATCAATAAGATAAACACCATGAAGAGATCACAAGCAAGATGCAACAGACATAACTAGTTTTTCTTCTAAGAAATAAGATTTACTCCAATCATTTAGCTTGACAAAACTTGCTCAAATGTTTAAACACACACATCACATATGATGAAAGTTTATGAGCAACTGGAAAAATGATACCTCCTTTCTCAATGAGACTCCAAATCTTCATTTCTCATAATTCTTCCTTATAGAGGTAAGACACTGCTATAATACACAGTTAATCATGATAATTTTTTAAAAATTTGTGAACAAGTTTTGCTCATGATTTTAAGATTTATTTCTATTTATTGTAAAGGCATATATTCAGAGAGGAGAGACAGAGAAAGATCTTCAATCTGCTGATGTAGTCACAAAGGGGCTACAACAGGCAGAGCTGAGCAGATCTGAAGCCAGGAGCCAGGAGCCTCTTCCAGGTCTCCCACGCGGGTGCAGGGTCCCAAGGGTCCCAAGGCTTTGGGCTGTCCTCAACTGCTTTCCCAGGCCACAAGCAGAGAGCTGGATAGGAAGTAGAACAGCCAGGACATGGACCGGTGTCCATATAGGATTGCCAATATAGGATCCTGGTGCTTGCAGGGTGCAGATTTAGCCACTGAAGCAATGACCTAGGTATGCTCAGGATGCTATTTAAGTGAGCCCCCAAAATGGCCAAAGTTATTGGCATAAGCTATCTTTCAAAAAGACAAATTTCAATTCTCCCCAAATATCTAGCCCTTTAGTGGACTAGTAATCCTCTCAAAATTTCAAGAGATATCATTAACAAAATTTATCTAGCTAGGAATAAAACCAAAAAGTAAAATGGAAACCAGAGTTTTGGGCCTGGCGCCATGGTCCAGTGGCTAAAGTCCTCAACTTGAACATGCTGGGATCCCATATGGGCACCAGTTCTAAATTCCCATCAAGCTCCCTGCTTGTGGCCTGGGAAAGCAGTCAAGGATGGCCCAGGGCCTTGGGACCCTGCACTTGCATGAGAGACGTGGAGGCGGTTCCTGGCTCCTGGCTTTGGTTGGATCGGCACAGCACTGGCCGTTACGCTCACTTGGGGAGTGAATCATCGGATGGAAGATCTTCCTCTCTGTATATCTGACTTTGCAATAAAAGATAAATAAATATCTTTTTTTAGATTTTAAAAATTTTATTGGAAAGGCAACTCATAAAGACACTAAACAAACACAACTCTTTCAAAAGAAAATATAAAAACCTCTATGCTTATAATTTTTCTGTTCTCCTCCGCCCAAAAAACTATAAGGCTAGGTACTATCAGTTGAATTTTTTTCCATTAAGAACTCAGTAAAGGATTCGATGCAGTAGCCTAGTGGCTAAAGTCCTCACTTTGCACATGCAGGGATCCCATATGGGTGCCAAGTCTAATCCTGGCAGCCCCGCTTCTCATCCAACAGCCTGCTTGTGGCCTGGGAAAGCAGTAGAGGATGGCCCAAAGCCTTGGGACCCTGTACCTGCATGGGAGACCTGGAAGAATCTCCTGGTTCCTGATTTCAGATTGGCACAGCTCTGGCTGCTGCGGTCACTTGGGGAGTGAATTAACGGATGCAAAAGCTTCCTCTCTGTCTCTCCTCCTCTCTGCATATCTGACTTTCCAATAAAAGAAATAAATCTTTTTTTTTTAAAGAACTCTTGTAAAGCAAAAGTTTTCTACTACTAATAGGATTAGTTCACAACTAAATGAAAATGCTTTAGCACAACCATAAACAGCCATCTGTTAATAACAGACTAGGAACCATCTGCAAGTCATCCTAATACTCTAATAATCTATTTCCATTCTCCTACTCTGTCTGAGTAAAATAAGTTCAAATTGAGTTTACAGCTTCCAGTACTAAATATGACTTGTTTTCTCTTGCATAGCAGTCTTCATGAAAAGGCCAACCAATTTTTTTTTTGCAGAAATTAATATATTGATCCTAAAATGCATATAAAATTCAAGAAACCCAGAATGTCTAAAACAATCATGAAGACCAAGAACAAAGTTGGAAGACATACATTTTTCCAATTTCAAAGTTTACTGTTCCAGAAATTGGGTGCTCATGCTATGGAGTAGTAGTCTAAGCCTTTGCCTGCAGTGTCCACAGCCCATATGGGCATCAGTTCATGTCCCAACTTCTCCACTTCCAGTCCAGCCCCCTGCTAAAGACCTGGGAAAACAGCAGAAAATGGCCCAAGTCCTTGGGCCCCTGGACCCACTGGAAAACCCTGAGTCTGCTCCTGACTCTTGGCTTTGAACTGGTCCAGCTCTGGTTGGGCAGTGAGTTAGTAGATGGAAACTCTGTAAATCTGCCTGACAAATTTAAACAAACAACCTTAAAAAAAAAAAAAAAAACCTACTAGATCCATACAGCATGCAGTGGCATAAAACAGATAACATCAGTGCATCAATCACTGCTTACATAAATTCAAAACAGATCCCAACTCAAACATAAGAGCTAACACTAAGAGGAAAAAAAGGAGTAAATCTTCATGATCTTGCATTAGGCAGGAGTTTCTTAGCTATGACACCAACAGCATACCAATATGCAACTGTAAATCTGACTTTATCAAAGTCAAAATGTTATGCAAGAGTTAAAGCACAGTGGATTAAACTGCTCCCTGTGATGCTGGCACCCCACACTCAAGTGCTGGTTTGAGTCTAGCTGCACTGCTTCTAATCCACTTCCTAGTCAATGCAAGTGGGAGCAGAGGATGACCTTCCACCCGTATGGACAATCCGAATGGAGTTCTAGAACACTGGCTTAACTGTGGCACAGAAAAGGCTGTTGTGCTAATTTGGAGAGTAAACCAGCAGCGAGCAGATGGAAGATCCCTTCTCTCTCTTCCCTACCTCCCTCTTTATCTCACTGTGTCTTCCTCTTGGTGTCAATCTTATAAATAAACAAACAAAATTTTTAAAAATTTCAAAGATTTTGTGCTGCAAAAAATAGCAACCATAACAAGAGTGAAAAAGACAGCCAACAAGAAGGAAGAAACAATTTTGGAAACCCTTTATTCCCCAGGAGTCATATAATATATCTATATATATAAAATATACAAAGAACTCTTACATCTCAATAATAAAAAGACAACCCCACTTGAAAATTAAAGGGGTCCTGAATAGATATTTTTCTGAAGAAGATATACAAACAACAACAAAAAGCAGCAGCAGCTTGAAAATCATGATTCATTAGGACAAATAAATAAGTTAAAATAAAAACACAAGCAGTTAAGACACTGGTGAAGTCTCCCTCGTCCCACATCAGGCTGCCTGAGTTTGATCCCTGACTGGTCCCTGATTCTAGCCACTTGCTAAAATCAACCACGGGAGACAGTGGAGACGTTGGAGCAGTTGGGTTACTGTCCCGTACCTGCGGGACTTGGATTGAGTTTGCAGTTCTGATTTCAGTCCTGCTGGCTCTGCAGCCATTTGGGGAGCAAACCAGGAAACATGAAGTCTCTCTCTCTCCATTTTTCACTCTCCCCTCCTCTCAAAATAAATAAAAGTATGAATAAATACACCTGAGTTACCACTTTACACCCACTATTATGGCTTTAATCTAAAAGGCATATTGATACATCTTGGAAAGAAAAACAAATTGAAATTTTTAAACACTGTTGATGGGAAATTAAAATAATGCAATGACTTTAGAAAACAATTTGGTCCAGTTGTTTATTAAAAGTTCAGATCTTAAGTGGTTACCCAGTTTGACCCTAATCATACCTATATTTTGCTGATTTAAGTTTGTAGAATTTAGCTGATGTTCTTATGACAGTTTAAACCTGTAGTTAGGCTTTTAAGTGAAAGTTTGCCTAAATGTTGGAAAAAAGGAAGGGAGGGAGGAAGGGAGGGAGGAAGGGAGGGAGGAAGGGAGGGAGGGAGAGAGGGAGTGAAGAAGGAAAAAAGAAAACAATTTGGCAGCTCCTCAGAAGATTGCAGTTACCTTGTAACCCAGCTGTTAAGCATGAGCACTGGAAAATGAAACAGATCCACACAAAAACTCAGGCATGAATGTTCACAACAGTACTTTTCATAGTAGCCAACAGGTAGAAACAACCCAAATGTCCATTCATTGATGAACGTATAA